TACGAGGACGAGGCGGAATCCGAGAGCCCGGTGCAGGAGGCAGCCGGCAGCTCAGCGCCACAGGGCCGAGACCTGGTCTACGTGTAGCACCAGACTGAGCCGCTTGTACATAGCGAGTTTGCTGAAGGTGTGAGTGAGTGTGTGTACGTGTGTGTGTGCGTGTGTGTGTGTGTGTGTGTGTGTGTGGAGGGGGTTTGAACAGAACAGCATTTAAAACATTAAACGTAGAAAGTGTGTTTGTTGGATGAAAACTCTACAGAGATCCAATCACCAGACTTCAGATATTCACACGACGACTTAAAGGAACAGTTAAAAACACTAATTTGCTTCTTCACTGAAAACTCGATGAGACGATTACTGCGTCTCGTGTTTGTACGATAAATATGAAGCTGGTTAGCTTAGCATAGAGACTGATTGACTCTGTCAGCACCTTAACGCTCTCAGCCTGCAGCGAAGGATTATTGACTAATTCTCTTGTTCATACAAACAAAGCGTTTCGCATTAATAACCCAGACTTTGGCGCTTCTTCGTAATCCATCTATTATTTATGCCGCTTATCTTTTTAAGGGAAGTGGGAGGATCTGGAGCTAAACTACAAACGGAGATATTTGGAAATGCTGCTGTGGTTGTTAAGTTTGAAAACTCCCGGGCTGCGTTTGAGTCTCGACGGGAAGAAACCGACGACGCTGATTTTACAAAGTTGTCTTGCGAAGTGGGACCGTGTCTTCTGGAGTCTCCGAGGGGAAACACTACAACTTATTTTGCTGGGATCAAACAAACATGTTAAACTATCAAGTTTGAAATCTGCTCATCTAACCTCATGAAGCCGGTTCCTGTCGTGTGTCGAGAGTTAGACGTGTGAAATGTGCTGCCTGAGGAAAAAAAAAATCAGGGTTCTGTTTCTGTGACTGAACTCGAATCCCCTTAAAGCCTTAATTTATTTAAGAGAATTGTAACTGGTGACGTTAGTGTAGACGCTGTTTGAGTGCGGGACTTAATCTTCTGTTGGTTTAAAAAAGAAAAAGAAAAAAAGAATTAAAATAGAAAATCGTCTTAATTTATATTTTAATGTCTGTTGCGATGGGGGTTTAGCGACGTAGAAGTTTGCAGGGATAAATCGCTCTAATTATTCATTGCTGTGCCTTTTTTTCGATTTTTATTTTTTATCTTTCACCAAATATAGAGGGTTAATAATCAGACTTTAAAATGAGAGTAGCGGTAGCGTGATTGATTTACAGTAGTTGTTTTATTTTTCTAATTTATACGTAAAATGTATTTATAAATTAAGTTGTACACAGTTGATGTAAATATATTTCTCCTCCGTCAGCTGCTTTATTTTATTTTTCTCTTAGGGCAGGCCCTCCTCAGTGTCACTGCTGCTGCCTCCGTGTTGTTTCTCTGTCTCGTAACACACAGAATCACTAATTCACACCACTCAACATAGATTTAAAGCCTTTTTGTAAAATGTACTCTTCCATCGCTGTCACTCTTTTACTCTCATCTCTCAACCAAAGCACTAAATAGATGGGGTTTTTCTTTTACTTTTTGTTTTTAGAGAATAACATCGCAAGACAAAAGATGAAATTATTTCAGTATCGAGCAGAAATGCCTGTTTTTCCACACTTCCTGTCTTTGAGCAACGCGACAGAAGCCGACCTGCGTCACGTGACATGTTTCCTGTGCATCTGTACTAAAAGTGGAAAACACAGACCGGCTCTCCGACATAAATCCTGATGATGGTTTTGTAAACCCGCTGTACTTTGTTCTTTGAGTTAAAGGCAAATCTCTCTGAATGTAGTTGTTATGGACTTGACGGTGACTCTGCACTGCTTCTGTGTTTTCATTGTTAAGTGAGAGAGTTTTTATTTTTGTGTACATTATTGCTGCGGGAGGTTTGGGTTCAGGGACGAGGGTGATAAATAAAGAATGTAAAGAACAAAACATGTTTTACATCCACACCTGCCTCGTTGTTTTGTTGTCAGTGGTAACCGACCGTTAGATTAACAATCATCTGTGGGTGATTTTATCAACTTAGCGATTAACAGTGTCAGGAAATACTTAAATTACCATCACAGACTAATAACGTCCAAGACAAAGAGTGTAAATGTCACGTTTAGTCCAATAAACAGTCAAGAACCCATAGATAGAAAGTAACGAAGTACATTTACTGTATTATTTACAACTGAGATATATGTACTTAAGACTTTCTGCTAGTTTTCTGATCTTAAGATTCTGATTATTTTAGATTCAAACTATGATTAAATATTCATTACCAGCAGTATATACTATTGTTAAAATTCTTCAATACAATGAAATGAAACCAAATTACAGATGGAAGTTTCCATTAGTTGCCGAAGGTATATGTTCACTCTAACAAGCCGCAACATTAACACATCAGTTATTTCATATTAACGTATACGGACCAAATACTTCATTTAGGAAAGTAAAGCACACAAACTTAAGTTTTGTCTCATGGTTTCATGTAGAAGATGCAGGTCAGTGATGATTTTCAGGCCTGGTGCCACCAGGAGGCGCCAGTGGCAACCAAGCCTACTGACCCAGTTTACTCGGCCCCACTCTACAATACAATACTATTTCAATATCCGTGGTACTTCTCAGCTTTCCTACTTTTTTTTTTCCTGGTAAAGTTTATTCAGGGAAGTTTTCTTTTCTCAGGTCCGAGGGTCTGAGGACAGATCGATCAAATTTACGATATTAACTTTTATCTTCATGTAGTTTTTTTTTTGCTTCCGACTTCTCGAACCTCGTTAGTTGGAAATCTGACACAAGCGGACACACGCGGTCACATGATTGAGGACAAACAAGTTAACTTAAACAAGCTTATTTTTAATGGATCTGCAAAATTGTTTGAATTTCCAAAGAGAACTTGTGTCCCTCCCTCCCACAGTTCCCCAGTGGCAAACGTTACACAACGTTACAGAAACGCTTCCAACCCAAAGAAATCTGCATGCAGGAAAAAAACAAAAACAAAAACCCAGATAAGGGGAAAAAAACAAAAGTAAAATAAATCATACAGACAAAAATAAAACATCAATAAACAGGACATATACTGTATAATGCCGTTCTCTTGGCTGGAGGAGAAATTCAAACGTTTCCGCTTCGGTCCGGCGTCTCCGTGAACCGACAGAATATTAAACTGTAATTTCATTGGGTGGATGTGGCTCCGCCCACCACACAGCCCCGCCCCTGTCTTCCATATAAGGCACAGGACAAAATAAACCCCCACATACAAAAGGAGCTGGCCACGCCTCCGTCACTTGGTAACAAATTGTAAATGACCGAATATTGTTAAACAGAAACGTCACTGAATGTACAAAATGTTAATCCTACGTTTGTCTTTTTTTTTTTTTTTTTTTTTTTTTTTTTTGTATTTTTATTTCCTCTGACTGAAGGTGAGTGCTGCGGGTTACGAGGGTTTGGGGGGTGGGGTTAGGGGGTGGAGAGGTGAGGGGGTCCGACCAGGTGAGCTCAGGCAAAGGAAATATTAAAAACATGAGCTTGTCTTTCCACACTCTTTTTTCTTATTTTTTTTTTTTAAACAACCTTTAAAACAAAAGACAAGAAACGTGACTGGATTTCTCTTTTTATCAGAAATAAAAATGATCATCAGATGGAAAAACATGGAGGTGGGAGGAGGTGGTGGTGGTGGGGGGGTGGAGGATGAAGAGGAGGAGGTGGAAGGGTGGAGGGGTCAAACAAGTGAAGTGGTTTATTGTTTTATTCTGATAAAAGAGACAGAGTGTCAGTGTGCAAGAACAACTCATGAGACAGGTTAGAGGGCGAGAGAGTTAGAGTTAGCAGTTAGACAGAGAGAGAGAGAGTGTGTGAGTGTGTGTGTGTGTCTGTCTGTGTGCGTTAGTGTGCGTGAAACAGAGGAGTTGTTCAACTGCAGCACTTGCTCTTCCAGCCTGTGACTCCACCTCCGCTGCTGATGTCGACGTTTTCACTGTTGGGCTCTTTTACAGGCGTCTGACGAGGACGACACAAAAAACACGTTAGAATGAAACGTCACACAAGTCAAGTCGCTCTGAAACGATTCTGAGCCTACGGCGATGTGTCGTCACTGTGATTATCATTTCCACTGAAGTTTGTCTGAAACCTTTTAAAATATTAAGATTTCAGTTCTTCAGTTGAGGAACATTTTCCAGTTCGACTTATGGAATCTCCCAATCACTCCGCGGCTCGCTCACCTTTCTGAGGATGTCTTCTGCTAACGTGAGGAAAGCCTTCTCGATGTTGATGTTGGCCTTAGCACTCGTCTCAAAAAACCTAATGCCGTGCTCCCTCGCAATCTGTGGAGAGGAAACGAGATCGAGTTAGAGCGACGAGAAGGTCCGGTCCGAAAATAAAGTGTCTGATGTGGAGCAGAGATCAGGTGTCACTGGTGTTACCAACACACACACACACAGCAGTCTAGTCAGGTAGGTGTGTTTGTATGAGTAAGCAGACTTGTATCTGATGTTGCTAAATGTGCAGACTGACTAGTCACTGCTAGTTCACTTTGGTCTGAAACACTCTGCACACCGACACATGTTATCACTTGTTCTGGCTGAGTGGCTGTGTAACTGGGAGGTTACCCTGAAAGCTCTAATCCTGTTATAATTCCAATGTAGAGCCGCAGCGTCGCCACAGTCATGAAGCAGTAAATAAACAAACACTCTTTATCTGCGTCACAGCTGTGGACGAGATCCAGTGCGACCTCACACTCGTCCCATTAAAGCTCTTCAGACATAAACTACGAAAACTGTCGGGAACAGGGGGATTAAATTTACTTTAACTGTAATTTGCCCTGAGATAGTTTCACTACAGCAGCCAGTATTTTCAATGACACCATTGCTCAATCAACATAGTCGATCCCATGTTTGTCCTTTTTGCAGCTTTTTTAAAAGATATAAGTTTACAATGTTTGATTAGTTCACGTGGCTAATGTCCCAAGAAACATAAGCCTTCATGGCAAGTACAGACAAACAGTAGCTCAGGCTCTGTAGAGGTCCTGTGTGTACATGCAGATTTTAAAGGGTTAGGGTTAACCCTATAATAACACATTCCACACTATGTTCATGTTATAATACTTAGTTTTTAATCTATTCTTCATGCTTTGTGTGTTTAAGTCTCCTAAGTCTCTCTCCTGCTGCTTCACACTGTGTTTTAAAACTTTTACTGCTGAATGAGTTCGTAGCAAACGCTGTAAATACAACCTCTCACTACATCAGTGGAATAAACCGCAGGACACGTAACGATCGTAAGGTTTCTGTACGTTCACGACTACGAATTGAATATGTGTCGACAAAAAGGGCAGCAACAAATGAGCCAATCAGGACGCGGGAGGTGTTATGACGAAGGGCTTCGTGTAGCTGCAGGGGGCTGCACCATCTCACCTGCTCCCCCTTGGCTTTTGGTACGACCCTCTTGTCCTCCATGTCACACTTGTTGCCTAGCAGCATCCTTTCAACATCCTCATTTGCATGCTGAAAAAAGATAAAGGAGAAAAAAAAACAAAGAGCAGATGATCAGACGACTTCAGCTACAGAAAATATCAGTGCTGATTATTTTCACACACCCAGTTTGTTTTGACTCATTCCCGTTTGGACCGGGTCCCAGGAAGTCGATCGGTCAAACTCATTTCAACACAACCAGGTGATAAAAGGTTTAATATTTACATATCAAGTCAAATACTGGCCAACAGGGGGCAGACACACTGTGTTTAAGACATTTGTAAACTGCATCAAACTGACTCTTTTTGTCATTAAATAATTCAAAGATAATCAAACATAATTTCTGACTAATTTTCAGATTTTTGATAAAACTTTTTGGTCCAATGAAAACAATTAAAATAAACTAGTATGGCATCAAATTATTATCCTAATTATGAAATCCTAAAAACAGAGTGAACAATTCTTTTCATGGTTTGCCATTGTTCTACGTGACATCTTCAAAAGTCAGTGTAAAAGAAAAGTATAAGAACCACAGACTTCCAGTTTTTAATCATGTAAGAGCAGCCGCAACTTTTCACATTTGAGAAGCTGAAATCAGGAAGTATTTGCCTTTTCATAATGATTGTCATCATAAATCCTGTCAACTGACTGACGACAAGGCTTTTTGGTAAAAGGTGTCAAAACTGAGAATTGCACCCACTTGAAATATAGTTCACAAGTGACATCGTGCTGTTTTAGAGCGTTACAGGACAAAAGGAGGTGGAGACCCACTGATTTAACACTGTTTTCATGGCACTTTCCACGAAGCAGAAATCCATGCAGCGTATTCCAGAGGGAACCACGAGCTTTCAAACACAGAGCCGCAGCATGAACAAGGTCGAGCTCAGAGTTCTCAGGAAATGCAATGTGCTTCCTTTTCCTCGACTTAAGTCAAAGCGAAGGTGAGAAAAATTACAGGAAAGCGACCCCCCCCCCCCCAATCGGCATTAACATATCCAGTGCTCTCTGTAAACGAATCTGTGGTTAGTAGATATAAAATCTTTCTGATTTACAGTTTGAGGTTTCTACAGAATCAACAGTCTACATAATGTGTTCAGTGTTAATGTAGGATATGATGAATCACCAGTGTCTGCAGAGCAATTGACTCTGTTCCAGTTACATCATCCTGCTGCTGCTGAAAGTTTTAAATTAAAACTCAAAGACTGAAACAGCGAATATGCCTTTGTCATTGTCTGGAGCTTCTGTAACTGAACCTATTACTACAGTGAACATTTCTACAAACAATAAATCAAGTCTGTTGCATTTGGACACAGATTCCTCGCTGCACACATCAGGTGCTCGTTAACCAAGTTGCCTGCGTTCCCTCAACTTATTTATCACTTTGTCATGATGCCAAAGACAAAGGAAATCCGTTCATACACTTAACTCGCTGAAAGCCTCATAAAATGCTGTGACCACGTGACGCTGTGATCACGGAGCTGAGGGAAAACGTGGGTCATCTTTACCTCATCAATGTTGCGCAGCCATTTGCTGATGTTTTCAAAGCTCTTGGCGTTGGTGATGTCGTAGACCAGCATAATGCCCATGGCTCCTCTGTAGTAGGAGGTGGTGATGGTGTGGAACCTTTCCTGGCCGGCTGTGTCCCTAAACAAACACACGACACAGACGTTTCTTACATTTGTATTCATTGCATCTCGTCCCCAAGACGGTAAATGGTTTAAGATCTTCACTGCACCACACATCAAACTGAACCTTATTGAGATTTTGTTTGAAATGTAAGAATAAAAGAGATTACTCAGCATCTGCTTTACTTCACTCAAGTGAGATGATCTAACTTCATTATTTATGTCACAGACCTTGTGTAGCAGACATGCATTAACAATGGCTGCAACTAACTTTCCTCATTTCTCAATACGCTGATTACGTTCTAAAATATATTCAGTTTAGAATGATGAACAACATAAAGCTGGAGTTCAAATCAATATCACCATAAATTTCAAGACTTTTACCTCGAGTACAATTTTTTTTTCTCCATGTCTCAAAATACATGTCTCATAAACTCTAGAGTGAATCAATCATCGGTGTTTACTGTTAAAGTGTTCAGTGATTGCAGATGAGCGGGGCACATGTGGCAGGGTAATACAGCACCGAACAAGGTGCCAGGGCCCTGCTGCAACATGAACGTGGCGGAAACCCGACAACAACAACAACAACAACAACTTACTCCTTTCAAATGCCTAATATGATCTTTGATTTCTTAAGGAAAGAACTGGTGGTAGAGAAAAACAGACAGGGACAGAAGGCGAGGGGATTCAACATGTAGTAAGACTCAAGAAGATAAAATGTTTTCTTGTTTTGGTACCTGAGCGACTCTATAAGCAAAGTTACTTTTCTATTGTGTGAATTCATAGAACCATGGGTGTGGCTGTGCAGGTGCCTCAGTTCTAGATAACATTGAATGATTAAACTTTAAATGAAAAGACTTTTGTCTGCTGTTGAGGATATGTCACTGTATCATAAAAATTTCAGGGTATCATATAACAGTTTTGTGCAGCAACATTGTAATGGTGATAAACTGTGATGGCACCTGAATCCTCATAAACCGACATTACAACAACTATGAAGAAAGAGATAGCGAGTGAAAGAAAGAGAAAGAGAAAGAGAGAGAGAGAGAGAAAGAAAGAGAAAGAAAGAAAAGGAAAGAGAAAGAGCGACTGTTCACTCATTAAAATAGTTACGGATGAATTTTCTGTCAACATATTAATGAACTAATCGTTGCCATTAGTTACAGCCCAATTGAGAAAGTTATTAAATACCTGTTTACCTGAGTTAAATGTAAATAAGATGAAGTATGGCATTTTATGTCTTCGCAAACAAAACATTACAAATTAAGTAATTTCAGCTGATGAATATAGGGTGTTGTGTAGTAACATGGTGAACCTAGTGCAGACCTCCTGACGGGCCGATGACCATTTCCTGTTCTGAAATATTTCTGGGCTTGAGGGAGGTTTGTCAAACAGATGTTCCACTATGATGTAACAAAGTTAGTTTGTGCATTTGTCAGCCCTGTACAGGTTGAAGTACACACAGAACAACGACACGTGAACACAAACAAAGAGAAGACATCTCACAACAACACACTGACTCACCAGATCTGTAGTTTGATCTTCTTTCCTTGTAATTCAACAGTTTTGATCTTGAAGTCTATTCCTGTGAAACAAAATACAGACATTAGTGTACACAGCAAACAGAAAGAGGCAGGCACTTTTGGCATGAAAGGCAGCAATGGTGGGAAAAGGATGAATGGATAAATAGCAGCTTACAAAGCTTACAGACTTCACCGCTGATGTCAGGAGAAACACAGATAGTGACAGAGAAAATGGAAACATCAACAATGACGAATGAGAAACAACCCAAGAAAGATTTTAAGTAAGAGAGTAAAATGGAAAGTGTGTGGCAGCTGTTTCCATCAGGGAGACAATAACATGACCTCTTTCTCTTCCCGATTCTGCCATGTCATGCCCAGACCTTGAACCCATAAGCAGAGGGTTGTGGGATCAGCAGCTGGTTAACAATGAGCGCGTGAACACACGTGCACAGAACCAGGTAACACAGCGAAATCAGGTTGAGGCAGGAAAACAGAGAAAATGATCTGATGCGCTACAATAACCTCGTCCCTGTAAAAACCTGAGCTGGTTGGATTACAGATGTTGTTGTGAGATGCTGAAGAGTTATTGGTGCAGTGAAGGGACACTTTACTTTCTGTGGCAGGAGAGCAGACAGCTGTGGATGTTTTTGAGTTTTACAAATAACAAACTGTTCAGCAATGGAAACTCATTTTTCAGTTTCTGTTCCGTACTTTGGATGTAATTATTTTGGATGTGTCCTGATGTTTCCCATCATCGAGACGTTTTTTTCTTGGACTCTTCTCTCTTATGTTTAATCCTCGTTATGTCCATAGAAAAATATGTTTTTTAAATCCTATGACTTCAAATATAAATTTCTAAAGTGCTAAAGCAGACAAGTAATCCATGATCTTGAAACTATTTGAGTTGAGTCATGACTGTGAAGGACTGAAGGAGGTGGTGACTCATCACCATTTTCACTTTTGGCCATCGAGTAGTGTTTTCCTCTTAAACACTGAGATGTCAGTTCTGCTTTGGTCAGAAATCGTGGTTAGCTAAAAAAGACCAAGAAACAGCTGTGCTCTAGGTGGGGCAGGGCCACAGAATAATGAAGGAACTGACTGCCAAAGTATGACTCACTATATATTATTCACACCCCAGAGAGAGGGAGGGAGGAAAGAAAGATAGAGGTTGATCGAAAGAAAAACAGACAAGGGGAAGGAGATGGATGTTTTAGAAAAGGAACTACAGTTATGTTTGCCTACATTGATTTTAGCCACTAAAACACTTTTGTGTTTCAGCTTTTGTTGCATCAACTACTAAAAAAGTTCAGGCACTCAAACTCTGGCCCAGCACATATCACATAACATCAGTGTCGTTCCTAGTGAGGAGTAAAAAAAACACTGTCGAGCTTTTCTCCTGGTGAGGTGCACTGGCTAGTTGTCAAGAAAATACAGGCCTTGTGCAATTACGCAACATTGATCCAATCGGTGGAAAAGTGGGAATGCTCCACCAGAAGAGAGCGACGCTTTCTATCACAGTCAAAAACTGAACAGGAAGTCCTGAACACAGAGTACACGGTTTATGAGCGGTTTTCTTTTCATCCGAGAGGAACCATTCCTTCCACGAGTTTGAATTCCACAGAATCTGCCAGTTTCCATGCAAAATTCACGACGTGTTGTTGACAGGGGTTTCAGACTGCAACATTATGCATGTTCAGCACTCTTGATATGCATAACCTATAATGTAAACCAAGGGGGGGGTCAGAGAAAAGGACACTCAGAGGATTGCAAATGAGGATGAGTGACTGATGAGAGAGGGGGGGGGGGGGTTTCCAGCAGGGGTATTTTGAGAAGCAGCTGTGCCTCCAGTCACACTGTGTCTCCAAAGGTGTGAGGACTGTGTCAGAGGAAGAGGCCACTTCTGTTTCACGTGTCCAGGTTCTGCTATTTCTCCCCAATGTTTGTTTCCACTCACACCCTGTGATTTTAGATATGAATCAAAATCTGAAGCTGATTCGTTTCCAGGGCCTGTCCTAAAATTCACATCTTGCAAATATCCATGTACAGTCTGGTCCATAATGTACAGACGGAGACGGGGAAGAAAAGTTTTGCATTCCCTGCTGCAGCCACTTGGAACCGTCCCCAAAAGTATTATATATTGAGGAATTTAATATCTCTGGCCAAAGTGGAGACGGTTGCAAATGTTATAAAAAAACTATTCCATTGCTCATTTGTATTCTGCTGTTACGTCCGAGTCTCTGTTGTGAAATATGTTTCCATCCTTGTGAAACTTGTGTTGTAAAATAAATAAACTTTGGTACGTTTTCTATACTAATTTGTTGCATTTACTAATAATACAGTGCTCCAGTACAGTGACACGAAACCCCTAATCATAAAACATCACTGATTCCAACCAGAATAAGTTACCACGAGGCGGAGGGAAAACCTACAGGGTTCAACTTTCCTAGCAGGGAGTATATCCACAAGGCACAGTCCAACATTACCAGTGGCCCAGAGCCAGGAAAAGTTTATGCAGGTACAGTTGATTGACCAGTCACTGGTCCGTCCAGGCCTGTGACTGGTCAATGGAGTCTTAATGGTGCATTCACACCCAACGCGACGCCCTGTTTATTTGTCTGGACGACTGTAGTGTCCAGTGCTACCTGAGGCTGAGCAGTGACCGGTTTGATCACGCCAGGACTGGGTCCGGTGAGTTTCATTCTCAGCGCTGATTGGATGAGACATTGCATGAAGCAAATTTGGCACCAGATTCTTTTTTATTTCAATATGAAAATACTGACACGATCAGACACTTGTCCCCTCATGGCCATGTTGTTACCTGTCTTTTAATAATCTGCCATGAGATTTGTTTTCAGCAATAAAACATCTAATGGTAGTTCTGTACTCTATGTTTGTGTGACTTTTTTCTTTTTATTCTACTCATTAATGTCTTAAGAGTGTAAACGAGTGGTTGTTACTACACGTGCTGCAATAAAAGGCCCTTGTAATCATTCAATTATGAAACTTCTGACTGGTGAAAGTTTACAAGGGGCCAGTAAAACTCTGATCTATTGTCCAAGTAGGCCAGTAGGGAAAATGTTATATAGGGTACTTAAACAAGACTTTATTTTCAGAATAATTCCACAAAATTGCCTTGACAATGATAAAGACAATTGCACAAATTGAGTTGGATTAAATCCTGCATATCCTTAACTATTTGCAGCTCAACATACCACACGCTTCTTTGATTTGAGTACAGATGTAGATCGGAGACATGGTGAGAGACAAAGCCAGAGAAAAGGTCAGAGACAAGGTGAGAGACATGACTGGACAACAACTATGTTGTATATATATATATTTTTTAAACAGGACAACTCCTGAAGGGAACCAGAGAAAGAGGGAGGTAAGTTGGTTTGCAATTGCCACTTATCTTGCCACCTTTTAGGACAATCTAGGGTTTTATACAAATTGAATGAGCACTTCCTAATCTTCATGACAGCAATGACTAACTGTGCCAATGTCTACCTGAGATTTTGGATGAAAGCCTATGACTATGTTTTGAGTGTAGTCCTGGGCTGATGACAAGACAAAGAAAAGCCACAACAGTGGAAAAACCATACACAAATACATAACTACATGTGACAGCAAGCTTTGCAACACTGCAGTTCGTGGCTGTACCTCCACAAATCTAATCTAGCTTGGATGCCATCGGGAACACTGTTGCCCATTATGGTTGTGTGTTGTTGGGCATACAGTCAGGAGGAGTCGTCTGTCAACACCTAGGCTACGAAACACCAGGGCTTGACAGTAAAGCTCCATCAAGAGATCAAGGATCTAATGCCGGTTCATGGCAAACAGTCGGCTTAATTTGGTTAAGGAACACACATCTAATGTTACGTTATTACTCAGCGCTGATCTTAAGCAACAGCAGTAAATGGAGCCTTCACTCCGGCTGCACAGGGATTTGACATAGCTTGACACTTGACTCATGTGAGCGTGATGATGGACGCATGCGCAGAGGACAGAGAAGGAAAAAAAGCTGATGATGCCACCATGATGAATTGTTTATGGTTCTCGTCTGAGGAGACATGGAAAGTTCCTAGTATATTTACCTGAGTACTTTAAATATAAATCACAGATAGTTTCTGTAATGTTCAATATAACTTCCTTCCACTTTTGAACTGATGCATTTCAGAGGGGATTTCTAACTGCTTACTCCACTGCAATTATCTGACAGACCAGACGCACTTAATGGAGACATGTCAGAGTCTCCAGATACAAAACATTATTCAGTTATGATAATTTAACAAAAAACTGAATCTCAATCCAACTTGTCATAGCCTGAGGTGACATGTAAAAATGTGTTTGCCTGCGTCTCAGATTAAAATCTATATGAATATGAATGAAGAACAGCTGCTAATGATGACATTTGAACAGTTTAAACAGGAAAAGTTTGACATTTGAGCAGGAGAAGTGACTAACATTATGAATATGTGAGCAAAATAGTTGCTGACTAATTCTTCCAAGTCGATTAATCAACAAGTCAAGGCAGCTCTGAAGAAATCTTCATAAGTGATCTACATTAGACACATAAAGGACGAGACAGTCGTTATAAAACATTTACCCACATATAATTGTTAATTTGCTGCTTATAACTACGTTTAACTACGAACTGTTGTGGAGGAAGGAGAATATATATCTTACACTTATATAACTATTAGCTTTGAGGTGTATTTAATGACACACGTGTGATTATATAGGTTTCATAAAGGTTAATACTAACATGACTGTTATAAGTGCTGGTGTTAACCCCAGCACGGCCCTGCATAGCTGCTAGCCTAGTTAGCTTGCTAGCTACTGGGTCAACTGAGATGACAGCGACTCCCGTGGTTCCGAAACTGGTTCTGTTAGACATTCCCGCAAACTAAACCCACGACAACCCGCAGGTGTTGTTATCGAAGTCACAACGTATTTGAAAAAGAAAGTGGGGTGGCGGGGGGGGCGACTGGGATTCGGCCAAGAGCTCGTAAAACCGCAGCTAGCTTCCAAGCTAACCAGTGCAGGCCTGGAGAGGCGCTGCACGCTGCTAGCCACACTCGTCCTGCCTGCCACCTTCCAGCTGAAGGGTGCGAGCCCCCCGAGCTGTGGAACCGGGGCGGGGGACAAATCAGACACAACTGGACACCCGACACCCGCCCTGGTCCCGTCTTACCTATGGTGGAGATGAAGGTTGTGTTGAAGGCGTCGTCGGAGAAGCGGAACAGCACGCAGGTCTTCCCCACGCCAGAGTCTCCGATCAGGAGCAGCTTGAACAGCAAGTCGTACGTCTTCTTCGCCATTGAGAAGCAGCGTGTGTTCACCCAGGTAGATACCACACAAAAAAAACAAAAACAAAAAAACCCCCAACAAAACAGAAAATGGCAACCTAACACGCCCGTGTGGAGTCTAACGCCAGCTCCTTCTCTCCAAAGCGACCGGCCGCCCCGCTCCTCTGGACCGATAACACCGAACAATCTGGGATTTGTTGATTAGCTCGGCGAGCTAGTTGGCTAATACACCAGCAAAGAAATACCGTGTCCGAGATGTTCGAGTCCCCGAGGCCGGATTGTTGCCCCCTTCTTATAGCATGAGAACAGAAAGCAAAAAAAAAAACCCCAGCACTCCTCCCGTGTGATTCCTCTTTTCCACTCTTTCTTTGCTCCCACACAGTCGGGACAAAATGGCTCCTCTCTCTCTCTCTCACTCGCTCGCGCTGTCTCTCTACCCTCTTTCTTCAAACTAACGGCGAGCTAATTCAAATTCTCGGCACACTCCGTCATTCCAGCCGCCGCAGGCTCGACCGTGGGGGGGGGCGGGGGGCGCTTCAGATTCTCGCCGGGGAAAAGTTTTCTCTGTTTCGCCGCCGGTGCGAAACGATCTCGGCCTTTTTTCTTTCCCTTTTTTCACTTCCTCCGGAGAGATGAGGCCCGACACACTGAGACGACCGCCGCCGCCTTCGAATGGAGCCACCGCGGCGACACCCTGCAACCACAGCCGCGCCTCTCTCCCCGCCCCTTCTGTCAAACTCCACTCCTCCGATTGGTGAACGCTGCCATCCATCACTCGTCCGCCCCGATGTGATTGGCTCCCGATGGTTTAAAAAAAAAGGGTAGGCGTGTCTTATATTGACAGAAATGCGACTGAGTGCGCAGCGCTGACATTCGGGCTCAAATCTGAAATTCTTCAAAACATGTCATAAATTTACTTTATTAAATTTATTTTTATCATATTTTTGAATGTTTCGTCATTTTGGGGAAAACGCGGTGATTTGGTTTTCTTGAAAAAAAAAAGAAAAAAAGAAGAAAAAGAATAATAATAATAACATTTGATATCGTTTTTGGCAAGTATAGCAATAAAACACCCTGTTTTATATATTTTTTTTTTCATGAAAGACGTTGAACAATATGTAAACGTAATGTCCAAATCATCCAACGAAAAGGCTGTTAAAACTTTAAAACATCTTAAATTCCACAGGATATTTATATGATTTATATTGTACAACGCCCCTGGCTTGTATATATGTTTGTATGATACTGTTTGTTATCGTATGCAACCCCGTGTGCACTTGTTCCTTGTTCTGTGGCTCTTTTAAAATAGAAAATAAATGTGTGGTTTGATCCAACATGGCGGCCAGTTTCATGCGGATCTCTTGCAGCCGGGGCGTGTGATGCGGTGACTGTCCCAGCTGTGACTCAGGCAAAGTGATGTCATATAAAAAAAAGTACTTCTGTGCTTGCAACGGGCGTTTCCCACATCCTCCACTTCATGAAGTGCACACACATGTATCCTGTCTTTTTAGTGAGAGAGAGAGAGAGAATGCATCAGTGTGTGTGTGTGTGTGTGTGTGTTTGTGTGTGTGTTTGTGTGTGTGTGTATGTGTGTGTGTGTGTGTGTTACTCTCTCCCTCTTCCGCCTGTCAGAGTAGTTGGACTCTCAGACACTCCCTAGGAATGCTGAGCATGCTCTGCTTCTTCTGCACTGCCAAGTACAGACTTGAAACAAACCAAAGGAAGAAACACTATAGAAAGTAAGACAGAGAGAAAGTCATGAAAAGGCTGAGGGGAGGATTAATGAACATTAATAAATCAGAGTAGTGGAATAAAATACTTGACCTTTTGCACCAGGTTGAACGAAAAACTCCCCCGTGACCCTTGACCTCCACAAATCCCAGATTTATCACATCATTTATTGCACAAATGAAATTCTATCATTACTGAAAGTTACTCCTCAATTCGTTTGTCATCACTTTCCCTTCATCTCTATCAGACTTTTTCTTATGTATGAATACTTTAATCATTGACACACTTGTCTGAAATGTAATAAATATATAAAGTTTGTATACCATGTGTACACATAGAGTTAAAGGGAGGGCAAACAAGAGGCAGACATCTACAACAGATGGTTAAGAGGCAGAGTTAGTTAAACGAAGCTAACTTAATGTCAAAGTGCAGGTTACATTTTATTTGAGGTCGTGTTCTAGTCGTGAGGCCTCTTCCTCAGTTATAAGAATCTTTGTTACACTAGAGAATCATGTCTTAATGCAGAAATCTTCCCACATTCCTGAATTTGGCTGCATGGGGCCCCAGGGTTCGTCTCACACGCTCACAAACAGCCAGCGACTCAAATTTCTGCACCGTTCTGGCAGTGACAGTTAAAAAGACTTTTAAGAGAAACCCTCTGCTGACACACGTACCTGCTCGACAAGTTAACCACATGACCTTTGGGGTTTTATCTGATATTTTTGGGGGCATTTTCTTTGCTTGAAACAACAACAGATGGTTCAGAGGTGACAGGAAGTAAAGGACCAGAGGGAGGGGGGATAACTCAGCAACAGTATGGTATGCATGTTGATCACGAGGCCACCAGGAAGCACCAACCTAATGTTTAACCTGAAAATTATACTTTCCCCAACAGCTCAACATATTTTTATTCTTTAGCTGAAACAGGAAGTCATTCAAATAACTTCTGAGCAGAAATGATTTCAGCTTCTTAATTTGGAGGATTATTTACATTGTTGTTTAAATGATTGATTTAGATTTAAGGTGATTAAGGTTTTAAATTGAAGGTGGCTATAAAAAAAATAAGTAAATCATTTTAATGACATTGTCTTATGCATTAAAAGTGTATAATGGTCATCTTTCAAACATCAAACATTATATAGTTCAAATAATACACAGAATAACCAAGGAAATGATCTGCACATAATGATAATGAAAATAATTAATTGTCCACATAAAAGAACATTGGGTCTCAGCTAAAATAAAAAATTTCAATAATTCAAAATAATTAAATTAATATAAAAACTAATTTCTATTTCCCTTCTCTTGAACACAAGAAAGTTAAATACCTGATATCCTAAATTAGATTACTATCCTACTGCAACTTTCTTTTCTTCAGCTGTTTAGCTTTTTATTTCATATGAGTCATTCATTTTGTTTTGACTGTTGGATATTCCTGACATCCTATTTTAGCTCTCGGGCTCGCACACATTTGAAAGGTTCGCTTTGTGACTGTAACTTTCCTGAGAATGAGCCATTCAAGGTGACCACAGGAGAATCTGAGCTAAGGGGATTTCTAAGATAATTTTCTGGCTCCTCTCCAAGAAACATCAACACACACACTGCATGAGCCAACAATGACTAAATGCACTAAAGGTGAAGCAGTGTGTGTCTGCAGCTCTAGGAACTATGTCATTTGTTAAATTCCCAGTGTGGCTGTGTCTTCCCCCTTTGTGTCCACGAGGCCTCTGCACCAGCACTGATCCATCAATTAACACTGAGGGTGTAAAATGGGAAGTCATAGTTATATGGAAATATATTCGCTGTTTGAATCACCACCTCTCCTCCCACAGTGGAACCTCCGTCATTACAGCCGGAACCAGTTTCCTCTGCTCTTCTCTTCAATCTCCTCAACTCCTGTGGTGACATCCAGCTGCAGGTCAGGGGTGTGTTCCATAGTTATTCCGCCAGGTGGCGCTGTTGTGTCGTTAATTGAATGAGAGTAAGAGCTAAATAAGTCTTGCAATTATTCTTTTTGCATTGTCGTCAATCTGTGCTGGTTTTGGGAGCACAGTTAAGATGTGATGCGAAACCATCTTGGATTTCTTACTGATGAAAATGCTTTGTACTCAAATCAAATCTCTGACATATATTCAGGACAAGCATCTTATTAAGTGGATGTAAATTGCCTTTTAATATTTCTTTAATTGTTTTAATTGTTTTGTAATTATCACTGATTGACCAGGACATAGTTTTTCTTCCCTTCCTCCAGCAGCAACTCTTTGTAGAGAAATGAAACTGAAGACAAATCCAGATCCAATATGATAAGTATAACTCAAACAGAGCAACGAGAAATAAATCAAACAGAAAACAAATTAGAATCAGACTAACACAATGTTCCTAAAGAGAGAAAGTCACAGTAAGATCAGCTGATTTTAAAAATATGTTTTTATTATTTATCTGAAATCAGAGCTTCTGTACTCCACAGTTTTCTATTTTAAGGCTGAAACACCCTGGGCAGGTTTCTTCTCCATTTTTGTTTAGTGTGAAAAAGTGTTTAAAAATGATGCTATAAAATATCAGAGACATATTTCTTGAAAGTTCATTTTTAAAGCCTCACAGCTTTTATGTCCAGAATATCTAAACTAACTCTTGTCTCTGAATAATTAGCAGAATTGACCTTTACTCAGAATTATTTAAATTGTTGTAGAGACCCCCAGACTTTAGATATTAAACTATGTCAAATGTAAAAAGTAATGAACAAGACATGTTGATGATTAGATTTAAATTGAGTCAGTGGAAAATGGTTTTAAACACTTATGCAATAATCAAATAGCAGCAATTAACTTGTCATTTTACACATGAGAAAAAACTTCATTTCCCATGATCCTTTGTTCTGCTCCGCAGTGATGTGGGGTGTGGTGATTGAATGAGTGTGTGTGTGTGTACATTTGTGTGTGTGTGTGTGTGTGTTGAGGAGGAGGAGGAGGAGGAGGAGGAGGAGAGCTCCGCACAGGACCCGAGAGATCCGCAAATCCACCGCCGAGCATCAGTGAGCGGCGGACGGGAGGATGAGGACGTGGACGTCGGTGTGCGGCGGATCTACCGGCGGATTGAAAACCAGGACGACGTGACTGAGAGATCCGGATTGTGTGTTTTCATCTGGAGCCGGGACTCGAACCGCGATGGAGCATCGGTGCAGAGCGTGAGAGCCGCTGATCGTCTGTGTTCAGGCGAATGTTTCAGACAATAAGCAAAAGAAAATTAGCCATTTGGAAACCGTGGCATCCCTTCATCTGCGCTGGGGATTGCGTTGTTGTGCTTTGTCGCTGTTTTCCTCTCTGGTGTGATGAAGGAGCCACAGTGAATTTGTTATTAATGATTCAGGAATCAATGGTTACACAAGTCACGCGCAGACAGAAGCACATCCGGGCCAATTAAAGGCTTCAGTCAGTCTGTTTTCTTTTCTTCTTCTCGTTTTTTTGTTCAAATAAGCGGAGGGCAGTCATGTCAAAAAACAAGAGCAGCGAGTCAGTGAAGGTGGTGGTTCGATGCCGCCCTTTGAACCGGAAAGAGGAGTCCAATGGGCCTGCAGGGGGCATTGTGCAGATGGACCTGGGTCTTGGACAGGTGATCCTCAGAAACCCTCGAGCACCAGCCAGCGAGCCCCAGAAAACCTTCACGTTCGATGCTGTTTATGATGCGAGCTCCAAACAGCGAGACCTGTACGATGAGAGCGTGAGGCCCCTGATTGACTCGGTGCTTGAAGGGTTCAATGGCACCATATTTGCGTACGGGCAAACCGGAACTGGAAAGACATACACTATGCAGGGGGCATGGTTGGACCCAGAGAAACGGGGGGTGATCCCAAACGCCTTTGACCACATCTTCACACACATCTCTCGCTCGCAGTCCGACAAGCAGTACCTGGTGCGGGCATCCTACCTCGAGATCTACCGTGAGGAGGTTCGGG